TACACACACCACCCAAAACACAGAAATCCTGGGCCTCTGTATAGGCATGTCTTGCCACCTAGCGCCATGTCACTGGTGGATTATTACTTCTCTCAAAAATTAAGAATATCGGGTATTTTTGGCATTGAACTTCGCATTCTGTTGTGTGTAAGCGTAACACTGAGTATGTTTTATGGAGTGAAACCTTATCCCACAGCACCGTAGATTTTTTGCGGGTGGCGATTTCTTCAGTTGATAATTATTATCCATTTTGCAGATATGATAGTGCCACGCATCTCTATGAGCAGCTAATTGAATCAGATCCAACAAACATGGTATGTGATTTAAATTTAAACTAAACCATCTAAATTATTTTATGACCACAATCGTCTTACTGACGAGGTCCAATTGTGGTAACGGTAAGAAATGTATACGACTTAATGGACCGAAAAATTTCTTAACTATTACAAATATTTCCATACTTCCAATTCCCTTTTCTACTTCGTTTTTCTTCCCTTTTTCATTTTTTCTACTTTATCATTTTCTCTTTATCCTTTAATTAAATAATTTGGTTATGAAAAAGGCTGTAACTAAAAAGTAATTAATAAAAGTAAAAATAAAAAAATAAAATCTGAATTAAATAAAAGTGAAAACAAAAAAACAAAATCTGAATTGGAATGTTTCGGTCCATTAAGCCACACACATTTTCCCATTCAATGCTGCAACTGGACCTCGTCAGTGGAGCGGTTGCAGCAGAAGTATTGTTAAATTCATTTTATTATTAGAAATATTGCTTCTGTAATAGATTAGCATGACAAGAAGGGGAAGAGGGTGAAAGACGGGAGGCGAAATTAAGTGCTGTTTTTCGGTAACGTGAGATAAATCGTTGATTTTTGAGGATTTATTATGTAACGTGGTTTTCGAAGTGGTTGTAGTAGTAGTAGGTTTTCTTCTTCGAAATATATTCACTGAAAGAGATTGTTTTCTCACCTCTCTTTCCTCAACACATCTTACTTTGATTAGTTCTTGTTTCATCATTGTGTTTCTTCTCGCCATTGATGCAGTTGGCAACTTCTCCATCCGTTATTTTCGCTGTCTCTCATTCATATAATTCCGTATAGCCGTTCAAGTGGATCTTTCCACAGGGTTTGGCGAATTTTGCTTGGTTAAGCAAATAATGTTTTTATTAGCAAAAACTCGGCTTTTTACTGGTCAAAAAACCTTTTCCTGTCTATTTTTTCTGTCCAAAAGCTGTAAGATTTGTTTTTAATTGCTCCATCTGTCTTCTCAGCTGAAAAATATAATTTTTTGGCCTAAAAATTTCTCAAAAATTTTGATTTATGAGACCATTTTTTGTGTTGGTTACCCGCGAAATTTTTGCAGTCCTATCGAAAACGGCGAATAGCAATTCTGAAAGCACGTGGTGAACGACAGGAAGCCATACATGCACTGAATGATTATTTGAAAGTATTCATAAATGATACAGAAGCATGGCTGGAACTTTCCGACCTATTTCTGCAGGAAGGTGATCTTGCACGTGCCGCGCACTGTATGGAAGAGCTTATCTTAACGAATGTTAGCATTTTTTTAGTATTTCCACTCGGCAAAAATCAGTTCTAGCACAAACGACGCAGGAAAATGCGATGTTGGGGGAGCATTCTATTGTACAAGATAGGGGGAGTTTTTTAAAGAAGCTGTATTAACAATGGATGAAATAAGGAGTATCAAAAAGTAAGGCAAAATCATTTGAGCAATCGCGGGAGTCAAAAACCCCTTCTTATTCACTGATCTCTGTAAGAGGCGGAAACATTCGGAATTATTTC